ACAAATAAGCAGAAAAATAATGGAATTCATTGGACTAGACGACCAGCCGTTCTCAGTGGTGGAAGACGTCGGGTTTCGCAGACTGCTCTCGCACTTGGAGCCCCGCTACATACTACCGGGACGTAAATATTTTACAGACGTAGCTCTGCCTGAACTCCATCAGACTGTGTACTTACACGTTGAACGTCTCCTTAAAGAAGGTCTCTCATCCTCCGTAAGTTTTACAACAGATATATGGAGCTCGAACGTCAGTCCTCTATCAATGCTGAGTTTAACAGCTCACTGGATTGATCCAGATTTTCAACTTCATAAAGCTGTTCTACATGCCCAGGAGTTTTCTGGCTCCCACACTGCAATAGCTTTAGCAGCCACATTTGAAAGAATGTTTCAAACATGGCATATTCCAAAAGAAAAAGTGCATGTGATACTGAGAGATAATGCCAGAGACATGGTGAAAGCTATGATAGCTGCTGGGCTGCCAAGTTTGGGGTGCATGGCTCACACTCTGCAACTAGCCATTCACGAGGCAGTGTTATCACAGCGCAGTATAAGTGACATTATTGCCAAAGGAAGACGGATTGTAGGGCACTTCAAGCACTCTCCGTTAGCATATGCAAGGCTTCAAGGTGTACAGAATCAACTCGGCCAGCCCTCCAAATAACTGCAACAAGATGTCAGCACCAGGTGGAATAGCACCTATTATATGCTCCACAGCCTCTTTGAGCAAAAAAGAGCACTGGGTGTCTACATAGCTGATTTTGACGTTCCTGCTACCTTTACATCTTCTCAGTGGGATCTGATTGAAAACATAACAACACTCCTGCAACCTTTTGAAGAGCTGACTAAGGAAATATGCTCATCAACTGCATCTGCTGCTGATGTCATACCCTCTGTGATGGTTTTAAAGCGTCTTCTTGCCAAAGAGTCTGCAGCAGATCATGGTTTGAAGACAACTAAGGAGACATTGTTGGAAGCTGTCACCAAAAGATTTGCTGACATTGAAGAAGAGCCCCTCTACACCTTAGCGACAGTCATAGACCCAAGGTGAGAAAATGATCAAATAGTGATAGAAAAATATTTACCAAAAAATGATTATTGTTTTCTCAGTTGACCCAAAACAATGAGTTTAACATGATTTCCCTCTGCCCCTCTGAGGTACAAAGACAGGTTTTATTCTGAAGAATCAAAGACCAACACACACAGAATGCTTCTTGGTGCGATGACAGAAGCCACACAGAGGGACACAAACCAAGAACCTGGAGCTCACAGCACAGGGGAGCCAGCAGAAAAAGTGCCACGACCAGGTTTCTTATCTTCCATATTTGGTGAAATCCTGGCAGAAGAAACTATGCAGCAGGTTCACACCAAAGGTGCAGAAGCAACACCATCAGAGATGATAATCTACCTCTCAGAGCCACCCATCTCTCGAAGTGCATCATCATTGGAATACTGGAAAACTAACAAGGAACGCTTTCCTGGCCTTGCTAGAGTAGCAAGAGCATACCTATCTGCACCCTGCACAAGTGTTGAGAGTGAGCGCTTATTCAGCACTGCATCCAACATTGTGGACGAACACAGGAGTAGACTCATGCCTGAAAAAGCTGAGATGCTTCTGTTTATTAAAAAGAATCTTCCCACAATGCTCAACAAGTAATATGTATTTGGCTTGTGTAAATGCTGTTCAACATTTTTGCCTGTTCAAAGCAAATGCACCTTAATTTCCTGTTTTTCATTTGAGGGTTTTTAAGACTATATTAATATTGTTAAAGAAGCAAAAAAAAATTATTTCACATATGAAGCAGAAAATCCACTGTATATTTATTTTATACATTATTTTAAGAAAAAGTAAACAGTTTTTATTTAGTTTTTTGCACAATAGAAGTTACAGACACAAAACAGTTAGCAGTACTGTCAGTTTTAATGTGATAGTTTATTTGAATTCAACCTGTATTTGCCTTTGGATGTTAAGTTTTATAATTGAATTTTTTTGGCAATGTTGAGAGGTTTTATTTTGAACATTTAGCCTATTCAGGGCCTTCACGTTTTCAATCTGTTAATGTAGTATTATCGAAAATAGTACAACTTGCACAATGCCTGTTTTGTTTTGCTTTTTTCTTGGAAAAAGTTATTAAAAAGTTTTTGTCTAGATTAAGGTGAATTCATGGTTCCTTTTTCCACATAATATAACCAGTAGTGCTTATTAAAAAAAATTAGAATAATGTGATCGGTATCGGTGATCGGTATCGGTGTATCGGCCCTCATGGGTGATCGGTATCGGTATCGGCAGGAAAAAACCTGATCGGCACATCCCTAGCAATCAGTAATACTTTCATAACAAATTTATATCAGTAATGATTTCTTGGTTAATGTCAAGTTGTCATAACAAAGACATTTTGAATAATGTCAACTTTGTATTAAAAGTGTCATAATTTACCGAATGACGCTTTACGACAACAGTCATAAATATTCATTTAGACTTATTGATGTTCATGACATGTGTTATGTCATGTTTATGACAGTGTCATGGCAATAAAAATAAAGTGTTACCGAAATATTGATGTTGACTCGAGCTCAGAGAATGAGAGAGACCACCCGCGGAGGGTACTCCCAAGTTTTAAATTCTTGGGGGTAATAAAACCCTCAAGAATTTAAAACTACTTTCACCCCTGTATATAAATAAATGAATAAATCCAAATGAGCTGGAAAAGAATAGAGTGCCTTCTCTGGGTCGAGGAGGATGTCCTACCCCAAGTGGAGGATTTTAAGTATCTCGGGATCTTGTTCACCAATGAGGGAAAAATGGAGCAGGAGATCGACAGGCAAATTGGCGCAGCGTCTGCAGTGAAGCGGGTGCTGTACCAATCTGTTGTGGTGAAGAGAGTGCTGAGTCAAAAAGCGAAGCTCTTGATTTACTGGTCAATCTATGTTCCTACCCTCATCTATGGTTATGAGATGAGTTCTTTCGGACACATGTGTTCTTTCGGACACATGTCCGAAAGAACGAGGTCACAGATACAAGCGGCCGAAATTTATTTTCCCTGTAGGGTTTTTGAGATCTCCCTTAGAGATAGGGTGAGGTGTTCAGTCATCCGGGAGGGACTCAAAATAAAGCCGCTGCTTCTTCACGTCGACAGGAGCCAGCTGAGGTGGCTCGAGCAACTGGTTAGAATGCCTCCTGGACTCCTCCCTGGTGAGGTGTGCTCCCTTCTTAGGCTGCTACCCCGCGACCCGACCCCGGATAAGAGGAAGATGGATGGATGGATGGATGGATGGATGGATGGATGGATGGATGGATGGATGGATGGATGGATGGAGATACATACACACATGCGTGGTACACATTGCACAATAGAATACAGAGAGTGATGTTAGCTAGCTTGGTTAGCTAGTTTCAAGAAACAAGCTCGTTCTCACACATGTACCTCCCCTCACGCTCACACACATACAGATATGATGCACATTGACATTGTTCCAACATTACTGTTGTGAAATTGCTGTTGTCATTTTGTTTTAAAAATGTTCTACAAATTGTTCTAAAAATGTTTTAAATGCTATCAGGGTCATTACTACTTCAGCATTTTCTGTTCCTATTTCTTCAAATGAAGATTTCAAACTAATTTATTTCATAGACTGAAGTCAGTAAGGTGAGAAATAATATTTTTCCACCTACAGCTGGGCTGACTTTTCCCTCCCTGTTAGTTCACACTGCTTCCAGCCAGCTAGTTAAGCTTGTCAGTGTCATGAAGGTGTCCTCCTGCTCTTTGGACATGTTACCAGTACATTTTTTTGAGATCAACGGTTGTAAAGTTCTGAACATAGTAAATGTTTCTTTAAGTTCTGGTCAGGTACCTGTTTGTTTAAAGAGTGATGTCATCTATCCACTCTTAAAAAAAAAAAAAAAAAATTGGATTCTTCTTTGTTTAGCCGTTACAGAGCCACCTCTAAACTCAAAGATTCTTGAGAAGGTTGCGGCCAGGCAGTTAACTGCTGCTCTGGATCATCACAGTATTCTGGACCAGTTTTAGTCAGGGCTTCATAAATCACATTCAACTGAAACAGCTCTTCTTAGATTCTCCATTGATATTTTGATGCAGAGTGATTCAGGAAAATGTTCTGTGCTGCTTAAGTTAAACCTGATGTCAGCTTTTGACACTGTTGACCATCTGACCCTAATAGAGAGGCTGAGGAGTTGGGCTGTTGTACCAGGTTCTGCTTTAAAATGATTGTCCTCTTACTTGTCTGATAGATCAACTTTATTTGGCTACGTACAGATCCCAGTCTCTGTCCTGTTCATTTTGGCAGGACAGAGAGGGCTCTTTTTTGGGACTATTGTTTCTGCTCTATCTGCTCCCTTTTGGTCCAATGGTTTTATCTTTTTAGCATATTTCCCATCATTTTTATGTTGTATATTTCTTTTCGGGTTCTTTAATGAAGTCTAATGAACTGCACATTTGACTAAACTGTCTGTATTCAATTAAAAAAATGGATGACTGAAAGTTTTCTCCTGCTAAATGAAAAGAAAACCAGTGTTTTCCAGCATAGTTCTCAAAGCACACTGCCCTGTATGTTTTAGGTGCTTCCTTGCTTCAGCTCAGGTGATTTCAATTAACAGGTATTTGCTGAGCTGCAATCAGCTGAATGAGGCACATTGAGCTGTACAGTACATTTTTTGTATTGAAGTATTGAGAAATCAAAAAACATGCAGGGTAGCGTGCCTTGAGGACCAGGGTTGGGAAACAATACTGTGATCAATACCTACTGTTTGTCCCCCATACAAAATGAAAAACTAAAGAAGACAGATCCTCCTCTTTGGTGGCACCAAGACTTTTGAATTCCCTTCCTCTGACTTTCAGATCAGCAGAGTGTAAGTTTAAGGCCAGCAAAAAACATATCTTTTTTTAATCTGCCTTTGCTTCACTTTGGTTTGTGTATTTATTTAGTTTGTTAAAGCATTTTGTGATTCTTATCTTGATAGGTGCTATGTTTTACTTATACTTCAGGTCCACGGATCTGTGGGTGAGCCATGGTGGTTGTGGGTGGAAGACCCCATCAATGATCACATCTACCACTCTGAGTACTTCCTCCTGCAGAAGAAACAGGTTGGTTTTTGTTTGGGCCTTAGCTAAATTAAGGATGGAGTGTGTAGTTTTTAATGTCTTGTATGTTGGTTCTTTATGTAGGTGGTAACCAAAGAGCCTCAGCACATAGTATTCACCATTCCCATCTTTGAGCCGTTACCCTCCCAGTACTACATTAAGGCAGTTTCTGATCGCTGGCTTGGAGCCGAGGCTGTGTGCATCATCAACTTCCAGAACCTCATTCTACCTGAGCGACATCCTCCACACACTGGTACACATAAGCAAACACACACACAATGTCCGACCAAATTCAAGAAAGCCACTGGATTTATTATTGCAAGCAGAAAACCTCCCACATGAGAAGTACTCCACTTTTTCTTGTGCCGTAATTTCTGCACTAAGCCTCTACTTTATTGACACACTTTGAACACAGTCAGTGTTTTAGCAGGGGTTTCCGAGGCTTGACTGGGACCTTCAGCTCTCAGATGCATCCTGGCTCCAAAACAGCTGAATCAAATGACTGAATTACCTCTTGAATGAGTCATTTATTTGTTCAGCTGTGTTGGAGAAAGGATGCATCTAAAACTGCAGGACAGCAGATCTTGAGAACCAGGGTTGAAGACCCCTGGCTTAAAGAATGATGCAGCTAATATGTGGACTGCCAACGAGTTTCCAAAGGCTGGACTTCTGCATGACGAAGAAGACGGCATAAGCTCAAGAGCGAATTTGCCTCTAGACGAAAGTGACATTAAGAGTTACAAGAAAAAGACTGAAGAAGTGGGTGACAACGTAATCTGAAGTTGTTCAGGTCCAACACTTAAGAAGATTATTTTCTTTAGTCTTCTTCCTGTCCACTTCTTCAAGTGGATAGGAAGAAGATGGTTGTCTATAGCTGCGTTTCCATTACAAATCTGCACAAATTGTTGTCTATTTTCTGCCATTGTCAAAAAACACAATTTCACAATTCCAGTGGTCCCACTAAATTAGAAATTAAGTTAAAATAACGTGAATAAGTTAGTTCACACGACACATCATTAAAATATATGGCAGTAAGAAATGTTAACACTTACATGAGATATATTCATAATTCAGCACACATCATCTAGAAGCCATCAGAGGAGACATCAACGTCTTATTCAGGCATTGGCGTGACAAGCCCCTTATACTTGGGAGCGGCTGTGTATGCAGCACTTTGGGGAAACTGTAGTCACTGATTTTATAGGAGACTCATGCATTCAACATGTTGGAATGACGTACAACTTATCAAGTGTGTGATGCTGTGAGAACTTTGGTGGAGCAGCTGCACAGTTTCCAAAAAATTAAACAAACTACAAGCCATCATCCTCCTAACACTTCCTGTTGTCTTCTTCATCATTTTCACCAGAAGTAACATGGTCCGGCTGTTAATGTATGATGTGAAAAAAGTGTTTCTTTTTTATAAAAAAACATCATGTTTATTTATTTGTATATATATATATATATATATATATATATATACA